GTGTCACAGATCGCTAGATCCTCTGTACCTAGACTACACTTCCTCGACTGCTGAAAAAAATAGTAAAAAAAATGACAAAACAGCTTCAACAAAATAAACAAACAAAACAAGACAATGAAAACCTGGCTTCAACTGAAGATGGCGAAAATATGTTCGGGAGATATCAGCAGTCATCTCCTGAAAGTATTGGTTGAGTGTCAAACATTTTAGGTTTTTTCAGTGTCTGGTTATCTTTTTTTAATCTAACATTGATTTGATTAAAAATTAACCCTGATTGTCAAACAGAAATGGATGTTTTCGATTTTTCCTGACAGAAATTAACGCGATGAGTGTGAATGGGTAGGTAGTGTTAGCCTTCTCTTCACCCGCTAAACAAAATCCAGTCATCCACTACCTATACCCACACTTACGCAAACTTAAAACCATGCTCGCATGCATACTCCATCACTAGACAATAGTTCATACAGCAAACTAGCCGAAACGCAGTAGTATTCTTCTTATTCTTTTAGTTCTTCTTCTCTTGAAGAAATCTATTTATTCAAACATTTATGTAGATTTTCGAAAGCAACTCATGCTGCAATCAACTTTTCTCTCGTACCCAATTGATGAACATCGCTACATCAATGTAGTGACCATCACAGGTTCGGATCCGTCTGGTGGTGTTGATCTTCAAGCCGACATGAAAACCTTTGCATCATTACATTGCTATGGCATATCAATTATTACTGCTCTAACTGCTCAGAACACCTGTAGAGTTAACAGCATCTATTCTCTTCCTTCCACATTTGTACGACAACAGCTCGAATCTGTATTCAGTGACATTCAAGTCGACGCCATCAAACTCGGAATGCTCGAACGAGAAGAGATTATTACCGAAGTGGCCCGATTTTTGGAGGCGAAGGGAACAGCAACACTGCCACCACTTGTCGTTGATCCTGTTATCTATACCAAAAGTGGAGACCAAATCATTGATAATAATTCGATAATTACATTGAAAGAAAAAATCGTACCTTTTGCTACAGTCCTCACGCCAAATCGACACGAAGCCTGCCGTCTTCTGGGTCGCGACAGTATTGGAGTTGATGATTTAGAAGAAATGGCCAAAGAACTAATAAAGTTGGGTCCTAAAGCTGTGTTAATTAAGGGTGCCGACGCACGAGATTGCCTTGTCTTTCAGGGACAAGAAAAACCAATATGGATTGGAGAGACAACAGATTGGATCGATACAAAGAACGTACGTGGAACGGGATGTACTTATGCAGCAGCCATCACTTCATTTCTTGGCCGTGGTGAGCCACTGATAACAGCTGTTCAAAAGGCGAAAATCTACATAACTGGAGCGGTTCGTGCAGGTGCAACCTACAAACAAGGTCATGGAGCTGGACCTGTCTGCCATCATTGGTTTTCTATTGATCGCAATTTCATTCAGGTCGCATGGCTTTCGATTTCTGACATTTATGACCGAATCAAACAACTTCCTTTCCTTTGCGAGATAGCAGACGGGACGCTATCATGGACAAAATTTGCTTTCTTCCTCCAACAAGATTATTTCTTTCTACTAGATCGAATAAATGTGGGCAACTTACTTTTGTCTCGAGCCATCAATGCCGATGATGATTTGAAATCGATATTAAAACAACTTTCTAAAAAGTCTCAACTTAGTGCCGAAGACATTTTCAACAAATATAACATAGTGCAGAGATCAGGAGAGCTTCAAAATAAATCGACTGCTTGCACAGCACACACGAATTATCTGAAGAGTCTGGCTGCAAGCGAAAAACCTGTTCTTTTTACTCTCGTCGCTCTGGCATCATGTACGTTAATTTATCAAAAAGTCGGCGAATATTTTAAGCATAAACAGCAAATGGAATCTTTACTGCCAACAAACCAATACTACCAGACGTGGATTAACACTTATAGTAGTGAACAACGAAGACAAAGAGTAGAGAAGCTCTTAGCTATGGTGAATCGACTGTATTCATCAACGTGGTCGTCAGATGAGCACCTAGAACTGCTGAACATTTTCAAAAGCGCAGCTGAATATGAGTGCGAATTATGGGTTGAAGCGTACAATGCAGTCTAAAGGCATCAAAAAATGTTTGAACACTTTTGCTGTGCGCTGTGCCAGAATTCTACAAAAAAAAATAATAAATAATGAATCGAAAATCAGTTTATTTGTTAGTTTCGAGAACGTCAATAGCATTTTAGGAAACAGTTCACGGGATCACCATCCAGATGTAGGAGAATGGATGTGAGTAATGGATCATAAGACATAAATATCGAAATAATTTCGTCTTCGTTATAATATAAGTCATGAGAGAACATGAAAGATTTATTTCGCTATCTTTCGAATGTAGCGGTAAGAGGAAACGGAACAACAAAAGAAAAGATGAATTGTCTACGACATAATGAAATTAATACGTTATTTATGTAAGAAAATGTAAGTGGTATCTGATAGACAAATGAAAGAAACGATTACAAATGTTATTACTTTCAAAAGTAGTGTTCACTTGAGGACGTGAGTGTCGGTGTGAATAGAGATTGTGTGGATAGTGGGAGTGTGTCAGTATGCTGTATGAGTGTAGGGGTGGATAAATATACATGCGATTGTGAGTGTATGAGTATAAGTATGATTATTTGAATAATGAAGAAAATCATCACACTGCACGTTCTCCAACACCATCGCAGGTATCCTCATCAATATTGACTCGTACACGCACACTCACACTAGAGTCGCAGCAACGAACGTTGGTTGTTCAATTTATAGTTTACTTCGAAGAGCAGTATTCAAATGAACATTCTATCTACTCGCATCTACATTGTCTAAATGCTATGAAACTTTGATATTCTGAATCTTTACTCATATTCATGTCGTTCAAAATAGATAACGTTTAGAGCTCGTTTTCAGTCAGTAAACTTGAAAACACGTCAACTTTATTTTAGTAAACAGTATAAATACAGATCATACACTGTCTATATTTATAGCGTTTGCTCGAACACAGAAATACAGTCGATATTTTAATAATAACATGAACAGTTGATATACAATCCGTTTGCCATCCATTACAGCTATTCAAATCAATCTTTAAAGTATTTGTAAATGGACTGTATTTGCACCATTTTCACACTATAAACTATGCGCAATACGCCATAGAATCTGGATTCACAGGCTGGGATTACATTATTAAGACAGACATGCTCATTCCAATGAATTTTAGTTACAGGATATCGTTTGGTATCCTAGCACATTACATACAGTTGTTTGAATACGAGAGATTGACGGGGCACTACGCGATATTGCTCACATCTAGACGTGTTTCGAGCTTCTGTCTCGTTTCGTTTTATCAACGAATTTAGAAAAAGTGAAATACATTGTTTAATTTTAGAAAATAAGAGATTATTCCAACATTTTGTTTTGCAACTATTACAAAAAGAAAGATATTCGAAAAAATTTAGAAAACATTGTCAAAATTTTTCGCACTAATTTATTTTAAATTACGAATAATGATAAAAAATTTTAATCGATTTCGAATCGCCTGCTTCAGAGTATGCTCATTGAGCTGTATGTATTCGAGTCTCAGTTATTACTTAAATACTCCTACTTATAATATATATTTTACACTTATTTTCATAAATTATTCACAATGAATCAACTTCTCATAAAAATCTTGAATATTAGTGAAGTATCATTCATATTAAAAATATTTTTATAGATTAATGTTGAAACAGAATATCTTTGATAAAAGAACTTAACAATGTAATGACGAAATTCTGAATTGCATGCATTACTAGTGTAATTTCAATAAGTTTTTTATTCTTTGCGGATTTAATCAACAAATATTTCTTTTATATTATTTGAAACAAAACTAAATGGCACTGTAATTTCTATCAAATTCTTCTTTATCGAATTTAATAGTTTCTAATAGTCGTTTTATTTGATTCTCTTCACTATCGTGGAAAATGAAAATGTCGAAAAGAAGTATTCTACTATTTGAACTTACGAAAGTTAAACATCAAAATAAAACTATTTAAAAAACTGTCAAAAATGATGATATTAACTGTTCATAACTATAATGATGCAAGGTATAATACATTACGATTCAATAATCGACTGATGTAATATAAAAACATTCAGGTATACATATTATTTTTCTGAATCAATATTCATTTCTTTGATGATAAAATTGAATGATAGAAAAAAGGAAACTCTGAAGTTTTTGATGTTTGTTTTGTTTTTGTGATTGTTTATTTTATTCCATCATTTCGCACAAGAACAATAATCATAAACGTAAAATAACATAGCGAAAAAGAAAACACAAATGATAATAGAAAATTTTGTGTATTGATGGAATTCATTTTTTTTCTTTTATTTTAGTCATTTGTGATATTTAATCGAGCTTCTTGAAGCCAATATCACTTGCATATTGTCGAAAGCATTGACGACAGATCATTAAGCCATACTAAAAATGAAAATAATAACATATAACTATAAACAATTTTATCTTTTTCGTATTGATCAATTTACTTTACGAATGATACCATGACCATTTGAACATACACGACACATACGACTGCCGGGACCATATTTATGTGGATGCGATCGAAAGATTGATGAATGACCCATAATTTGATAATGATATTAATCAAGAAAGTCGAGATGGATCTAAAAAAAAACAGAAAGATTTCGCAAGAAGTCCAGCAAAAGAAAAAACGAATGTTTGTTTGTTGTTTTAGTTTTCCATATTCTCCATGTTACAGTATAACAAATCACCTCCTCTAAATAAATAGCACCAAAAGAAAAATTTAACGAAAGATGTCAGACACATCTTTATTTATCATTGGTTAATATTTTTCACCTCAGAAACAAAACAAAAGAAAGATAAATTTAGTTTGAGCAAGAATGTTTAAAGAAATATTTTTTTGAAATTAATTAAAATGTTTTGTTTTTTTTCTTTTGTTTCCTCATATTTCAGATATTAATTAATTGAAATCCGACAAGAATGGTAATAATAACGTTCTATTTCAAATATAATTTATTCATTTTTTTCTATTTTTTCTTTTCAGCCAACACAAGGAAAAAGCAGCAAAATGCTGCAACATATTAATTATCGTATGTTTATTATGATTTTCAATTAATTCATGTCGTTCTTTCATAATTTCTTTTCTTTTTTATAGGTATGCGATGTACATTACAAGATGGCCGTCAACTTGTTGGAACATTTAAAGCATTCGATAAACATATGAATCTTATTCTAGCTGATTGTGAAGAATTTCGTAAAGTACGAAGTAAAACTGATAAAGCCGAACGTGAAGAACAACGACCATTAGGTTTAATTTTATTACGTGGTGAACATCTTGTTTCAATGACAGTCGAAGGACCACCACCAAAAGAGGTTTGTAATATTCATCATCAATAGAAAATATTACTAAATCAATTTCCAAATAGCAACAGATTCAATAGTTCGATATCTTCTCTACAATTATGACTAGCTGTAGTTTTAGATAAAAGCCGGCCTAACGCTGAGCACTTGAGCTTTTCTCATACATACTAACTAACTACAATAGTAGATGTGTGCCATAACGTAGCCAACATGGTATTGGACAGATGATCCAAGACACATACCCATTAATGGCTTGGCTAAGATCATTCTATGGTTAGTGATAATAAGGTTTGCACATATTACCTTGTGGATACATTTCGAGCAACGTAGCCATCCAGTCATGATGATCGGTTTCAATTAGTTATAAATATCTTTGATATGACTTGTTTTTTTGTTTTTAAGGAAGTCGGTATTGCTCGAGTGCCAACCAGTGCAGCAGCAGCAGTAGCAGCACAAGGTGCTGGTCGTGCAGCCGGGCGTGGTAAGTTTAATTTTCATTCAACTATTGAATAGATATGTATATAATCAAATTTATTCTTAATAGGTGTCATACCACCAGTACCAGGTGCACCTAGTTTTGCTGCTCCTGGTCTTCAAGGACCTGTACGTGGTATTGGTGGACCTGGTTTCAATCAAATGGCACCTCCTGGACGTGGTATGCCAGTTGGAATGAGAATGCCACCAATTCCACCTCCAATGGGAACACGTATGTTTCATCAATAAATCATTTTTATCTTACAACATGTTTTATTTTTAGGTCCACCAGGAATGTAATTTCTAGGAATCTTTATGTGTTGTTTTTTTTATATTATACATTTTGTTGTTTTTTTTTCGTCGTTCATCTGTTATTGTTCTATGATCATTCATTTTGTAAACGAAATAAAGAAAAAACAAAAGATCAACAAATAGACCGATTTTTTTTTTGATTTTTACATTTCATTATGTTTAAAAAGTTTTTCTTGTCTATAATCACCATGATCTGAATTGATAGTTATTTGATCAACAACAACAATTTTTTTTTCTTCTTCTCGTTTACGTTTAATTGTACTTTGTGTAGCATATTGATTAACATCAAATAGAAATTTTCCATAAGCATTTTCATCATTTTTTAATAACGTTCGTCGAATACGTTTAATCATATATGAACGTTCATTTGGATATTGTCCATATGCATCATTATACCATTGAATAGTTTCACGAATAACTTGTTTTATTGGTGTTGGTTTCCAATTAAATTGATTTGATAATGCTTTTGATATATTTACTCCACCACGTGTTACACTTGGAAAAAAATTTATTTCACTATTCGGATTATATTTTATTGGTATATTTAAAAAATTTAAATTTAATTCATCGATTATTAATGTAAATAAATCATTAATTGATATGATTTCTTTACAAGCTATATTAAGTATTTGATTAAAAAATATTGTTGATGAATCATGAAATGTTTTTGAAAGTATATATGTTATATAACGTGCAACATCATTAACATACACATATGATGAACGAAGATGTGTTGATATTTCAACTGGTTTTTGTATAGATAAATAAAATTGTATCCACATTTGATAAAACCACCAACGATCTGTTGAATCACGTGGACCAAGTACATCAGGAAGACGAAGTATAACATATGACCAATTATTATTTGATAGTGATTGCCAATGTAATAAACGTTCTTCAATTCTAAATTTTAAATGTTTGATTCGTTTTTTTTTTCTAAAGGATTAGAAATTTTAATTTTCATATACTTTAATTTTTTATGACCATATGAATCTTTTCTTCGTAATCGTTCATACTCATCAGTAGTTGTTGGTCGAATACTATCTGTTTCACTGGAAAGATCATTTGACGATGGTAGACAAACCTATATTGAATTTTAGAATTTTTTGCTTTTTTTTTTTTAATAATGAAATTCTTCATACTTCATAAACAGAATCTGTACTAATATAAATGTAAAGTTTAATTTGATTTTCAAGAACTTTTAATGCATCTTTAACAACATCACTATCATATGCACTAAAATCAATGACGGCATCGAAATGTTCGTCACCAATTGATGAACGAAGTTGTTCAACTGCAGTTGATGACTCCCTAAAAAAATATGATGTCATATCAAGAAGTTTTTACTTTTGAAAAACAAAGTTGTTGTAAAAAATCAATAGAGTGAACGAGGAAATCTTCCCAGATGCTCTCTTCTGGCTTCAATGATTTTTTGTCTATAGACACTACATACTATGCTAGTAAAATCTCTAAAGAAATTCAGGTTCTCAGCAAAATAGGCCAATAGCACTGCCGAGGTTCCATAGGAATTCAAACATTTTCTTTAGGGCTTTCACTTAAATCCTATGCAGAATCTATAGGCAAGAAAATCATTGAAATCGAAAGGAGAAATCTGATGAGTTTTCTTCGTAAGTATAAATACATGAGAAATTCTATGAAACAAATAAACTTCTTACAATAACAACGGAAACAATTAGTGATGTTGAAAATTTATTTAAAAATGTCAATGATATAATTACATGTTTGTCTATTGAATGTTATATTCGTTATTTTTAAATGTATGAATTTTAGTTCGTTACCTCCTTTGATCTCTTAGCTATTGTATAGATAATGACAACCATTAACATTTATGAGAGAATATGTTCTTAAAACAGAGATGTGCGAGACTCAGCCTTTTTTGTCCTAATCTAGAGGAAACTATTCGAAAATTTATTCGTATTACATCTCAAAAAACTTTTTAATACTTGTTTATAAGATAATTCACTTAAAATTTCAGAATATTTCACTATAATCTTAAGTCCAACATATATATATCTCAGAATCTTTTTTAAAAAAATCGAAATCAAGCAAGTCCTTCTATACAAAAAAAAAAAGGTGATCATCATTTGTGAAAATCATAGTTTCGTATATTCACACCTGTCAATATTAATTGTTTTAACAAATGGTCGAATACGAATATTGGAATCATAATTTTTCCAATTGCCTCTATTTATAAGTGTAATATCAAATGTATTCAATGCTAAAAGTTCCACTACTGTTTCTCCACCCAAAAAACCATTTCCACCAAATATAAGAATTTTTGTTATTGTTTTATCTGCCATTGAATGTATCAATAATAAATTGAATAAAATCCACGAAATACTCTGCTTTTTTAACAAAAACAAAACAAAAAACAAATATAAAAATCATTCAAACATAGCAACGCATCAAATCCATGCAATCTTTTTTTTTTCTCTCTCGCTCAATATCAAACAAAATACCCCATGAAGATCTGTCTTTGCCATTTAGATAAATAATTATTTTTATCTCTAAATAAAAGAATAATGAAAAAGTTATATTTGATCATCATTGGTGAAGGAATGTCTTTTTTTTCTTTATTGATTTGTATAAAAAAAAAACAAAGAAGAAAAAACAAGCATAATAAAAAAAAATCAAACAAACAGATGGACAACTATCGAATGTATGAAAGTTTGAATTTGATCATATCATCTTAAATATAAAAATTTAAGTTGTAACTTTAACAAGTGCTTCTTGTAAAACTGCACATAAAAATTCTAATTCTTCATCAGTCATTTCAACATTTAATATAAGACGAATTGATGGTTCAGGTAAAAGATGTTCATCATTTAAATATCTTGCAACAGTTATTGTTATATCACGTGTTTGAGCAAATTGAACAATTTCTTCTAAACGTCCAATTGTATTAAATGCATGTGTTAAACGTATATGTTTTAATGGTGATATTTCATCACCAGATATAATATAACCTTTAATTGATAATAATTTTTTATGTAAACGTTTACTTTTTTCCATAATTGTTTCAAATAATAATGTATTATCTTCTTCCATTATATTTAAAGCTTCAATAGCTGCAGCAGCAAGTAATGGTGGTAATGATGCTGAAAAACAATAACCTTGAGCTGATAAACGTTGATGATCAACAACAAATGAACTACCAACAGCAAAACCACCTATGGAACCAGCAGCATATTCTAATGTTGATGATATTAAATCAATTTTTTGTCGATCTATACTATAATATTCTGTTACACCACGACCTGCTTGTCCTATTGTACCAAATGATACACTTTCATCCATAAAAATACGATATTTATATTTATATTTTAATTCAACCATACGTGGTAATGGACATATATCACCATAATTAACATATAAACCTTCAATAATAAGAAATCGTCGTATTGATCGAGCTTTTTTAGGAATTTTCTTATCAAGTACTTCTTGTTCAGCTAATAAACGTTCAAGATCATTAATATCATTATGACGAAACCATTTAACATGACTACGTGATGCTTCAACACCTTTTTGTATTGCATAATGAACACCTTCATCAACAAATAATATATCATTACGTTTCGAATAAGCTAAAATTTACAAATAACTCTTAATTAGATTTTTTTTCTTCCAAAGAGAAATTTTTTTTTTAAAATTTAACCTGGAATAATACTGGCAATCGTTGAAAATCCATATGAATAAATAATACCTTCTTCACATTGAAAAAATCGTGCTAAACGTTCTTCAAGCTCAAGATGAATATCAATTGTACCATAAAATCTAAAAGAAAAACCAATAATAACATGATTCACCAAACCATAACCTTTTTTTTAAATATGCGAATCATTTTTTTCGTTTGGTTTAATAATATAGAACTAAAGATAGTTCTTATTTTTCGTATTGTATGCACGGTAGAATTGCTTTTAATTGAAATAACAAAATCAACGTACGGTCAGGTCGATTCTAACTCCTCAAAATAGAACTAAAATACAACTCATTTTATAATGAACAAGCAAAAATCCTTCCTAATTAAGTCAATGACGACGTTACATAATCTCTTTTTTGTTCTGAGATTTGCAATTGCGTAGTATTTATATGATAGAATAATGTCATGCTGTTATTTTTATTGTATATATGATAAATAGTTAACAATAGAAGATATCAATAGAAATAAGTTAAAATAATCATATTTTAATAAACTTACCCTCGTGGTCCGCATGATCCAACACCATATTTTTGTACTGCTTGTATGGCTTTATCAGCAATGCGTTGATTACCAACAAAATTAAGAAAATTAAATGTTGCAAAATTAAGACTTTTTTTTCCATCAATTTCAACTGTTTTACCAACAATACCATCTAATACTCGAACATTTAATGCCGGATGATTAGGATCAACCGATGGTACTAATGGTTCTGGTTGCCATTCATCAATTAAATCTTGTTTTTCTTTTTCTGTTAATTTTTTTTCAATTGGACGTGGTTTACGAAAAACTACAAGCCAAATAACAGCCAAAACAAGAAAAATTTCAAATGATATATGATAAAGTGGTGCATGTTTAAATGATTCCAAAAGGCCATAAAAATCTGTTGCTAAATTTTCTATATCACCTCTTGTCATTGACGAACCCATTTTAGACTTGTCTTTATCTTTTACTATGTATATATCTGCAATAGATACAACAATGCTTTTTTGTTATTATTTGAAGATCATTGTAAAGAAATAGCCTATCAGAATTTGTTTTGTTGTGTTTTTTTTTTATGATTAATAAGGATCATTCTACCGTGATGTCATTTTCTTTTTTTTTTATGTTTCAAACAATTTACCGTAGAAACATCTGTTTCCTTTGACAACTTTATTGTTTTTTTCTTGCGTTCTGTTGTCGATATGCTTTTGCTTTTGACTCCTACGTTTTTTTTTTGTATGTTATATTTAACTTCAAGGTAATTAAAGTACGCACATACATCCATGGAAAGGAATCTTTTTCTTTTCCCCATTACCCCATAACTCATTTTCCCTTGAAATGAGAGGAAAGACTTCCCTACATGTGTATATATACATATAATTATGATGTCATGAATCTACTCTTTTTTTTAAATAGCTTTCACGTTCTTAATCTTCTAATCAAAAACACGGCGGGATGGGAGAGGGTGTATGTCTAATTTTGAGTCACGGACATTACTAATTGCAAATAAAAAATTGTCTTCACGCATTACCTAATAGGTGTATCAATGAATGAAACAAGCCAGACATGGATAGGCTTAAGTGCAAAAAAAATATATTATCTCCATGATAATAGGAGATGTTTTGATATAATACAACGGTAAAAGAACCTCCGTTATCATTACGCATTAGATATATGCCTTGATCACACAATAAATATCTGACGAGAGAGTGATAGAAAAAGAAAAGAAAGAATATGGCACTCTGAATATATTTTGCCACTTTCTATTCGAGAAGGTGTGTTAAAAAACAGCTGGTTAATATCAATTTCTAATGTCATACAAAGTATGTCAGTGCATGCAACGATAAGAAAAAAAGAAAATCGATGCTGACGCAGTTTTATTCGATTTATAAAAATACTTTAAAAAAAAAGAAAGGCACATGGAAATGAATAATGCCTTCACTATCAACGATTTGATGTAGAGCAAAGAAAAGATGAAGTTAAAAATAATTCTTCATTATCAACCATAAAAATAATATATAAAAAAAAACGAATCACTTCTGATTTCACACATTACAATTTGATATGTTCCCAAATAAAAAGAAAAATAGATATTTCAACATTCATTTAAATATTATTTTCAACCTTGAAAAATTTCTTTAACCTTATCGTTTTCTTACAGTCTCAGTGCAATTCTATCGAGGGAAATAGAAATTGCTTCTTCATATTATCTAAATAAAGCTTAAGAACCAACATCATGCACAAGACATTCGGTCGATGCATGGTGTACATAATAAACGATATCTAAACACAGCAAAACGAGTCTTTTTTTTCTCTTTCTATTCCTTCTCCCATTTTCATGTATTTTTTTTTTCTTTCTTTCTTTCTTTTCTTCCTTCGACTATTTTAGTGGTGAAGTTGGTAGTACTATTTCGCTACAGTGTGCGCGAGAAGTAGGAGAAAAAAAGAGACCTTCATTTTTTTTCACTCTGTTTCTCTTTTTTCTCTGTGTTTATAAGTCGTCTGTTGCAATTGGTTTGATTCGATTTGAACAATTATGAAGTTAGAAAGTTCTACAAGATTAGCAATGACACCAAAACATAGTTCACCAAATCGAATTTCAAAACAACCAGTAAATAATAAATTAATCAGACAATCTTCATCAGCTAGTACAATACAACGACGAAATCAAAATATGATATATCAACGTCGTCAAAATATTGGAACAAATAATGATTTACTTAATCAACATACACCATCAATATTCTCTGTACCGCTTCTTACTGGTGTAATGAATGATTTTTTTCAAGCAACAAAAATTATGGAAGATGAAATTATGTTACCATCCAGACTTAAAGATATGCCCGTTGAGGGTAAAATATATACATGAATAATAAATTTATATTATAAAATCATTTATTTTGTTTTTAGAAGGTGTTCTTGATAATTCAGTTCAACCAAATAATTGGCATGAATTGTATACATTTGTTCGTGATATAAGAAATCAATTAACACGATCACGTCCATTTATTGATAATGATAGTAATTCAACTAAACAACAAATCAAAGATTCAAATGATGATGAAGAAATATCAATTGCTAGTTATGATACAACACAACATTCATCATCATCATCATCATCAAATGTATCACTTGATGAATTTGAACAGAGTACAACATCAACTACAGCATCATTTGATACAATTAAAGATGAACTTCAATGTCATCTTTTTGGACTATTAGGATCGCTCGATAACTTAAAAATATTAGCTGATAGAGTAACTGAGAGATATCAAGAAGACTCTACGTTTATAAATTAAAATAAAAGAAAAACAAAGGACGCAGAAGACTCGAAGACTGAATCCATGAGACTTTTTTTTTGTTTTATAATTTCTATTTATGTGTATTACATTATTACGCACATCATTTGTGATGCGCTTTGTGTTCGGCTCAAAGCCAAAAACGTGTTTTTTTCCTCTGTTGTTTCTTCATGGTTTTCTTTTCATTATTATCTCAATGTTTTCCTGAAACAAAAAAAAAGGATACGTATACTTAACATAATAACAAAATGTTTTTGAATAGGTGCTCCAAGGAAAAAAAATGAATAAGACGCAATATGATTTATTTCCCCATAGGAAGAAT